AACAATTCGGAGATTCGGCCGAAGAGGACGCGGCGGCGGCAACGGCGGCGGCGGCGGCTTTTCGCTCAACGACAAAAGCGGAACATGGGAAATGACGCGATCATTTCATTATCCTGTCGCGTCGAGGCTCGCCGTTTCGTGGAATTTTGCGAATTTCCAACCTGTCGCGTGGCGTCGCCATTATTCACGTCGGATAATCCTCATCAATCTCTATTTCTTCTTCAGAAGCAGTCTCTTGAACGACTCGGCGATTTCTCGAACAATTTTGCAAAGTCACTTCGAAAGTATTTATCTTATTTCGACAAGATAATCCGATTGTATTTATTTAACGGTTTGTTTTATAATTTTGCATGATATACCTCAGACAATTTCGCGTTCAACGCAGCTAGGTTTTCTTCTTGTAAGCACGTCATTCGAATTATCGTTTTAACGATAGAAAGTGATAGATTTTGTCGAATATTGATATATTAAATTTCTATATGTTATACGTTGTTATAAGAACAGCAATTCAGGAATTGTCGGAATATTTGCGCAAACTTCTGTGTCTCGTTAAATTAGATGGACCGAAATGAATTTTCGATTTTGATGACGAATCCATCATCGTCGCGTTCGTGAAATTAACTTTGTCCAACCCTCGTCTTTAACTTCGGCTGGAAAGTGTCATTTTCTGGCTAGAGCAATCGAAGGGCACTTGCAAAGATGAGAACAGGAAGCGAGTTTCTCCGAGCATGTGTCATCAGATGTCCCTTCGAGATGATGAAATTTTCCTCTGGCTTTTACATTCAGTCACTACAAACCTCAGCGTGTGCCACATTTGCCTCGCGGCTTTTCAAAAGTTTTTCACAAGAAAGAGCGACTAACGTGCTTTTTTTTCTTGTTACCGTCTGCTGTGGTTTTCCTTGAAAGTATAAAGCGTGTTTGTTTGTAAACTGCAAAACTCGGGGCAAGAACATCGGCGAGTCCTCTTGTAAGAATCGGATATTCTTGTGTGCGCTCTCTCTCTCTCTCTCTCTCTCTCTCTCTCTCTCTCTCTCTCTCTGCATGCACTTTATTCAAAGACGACTCTCACGAAGTGTAATCAAATATTCCGCGCAGATGGGCGATGGACCGTGTAACGCGATCTTCACTCGACGGGATATTTGCGAGTTCCCTTTTCCTTTCAGCATTACAAATGCGGTATCCGTTACAAGGATAAAACATCTTTATTCCGCGACTCACGTTTGGAAAATCTCCTTGTGGAAAAGTTTTCCGCGTCGTTGCTATATTTCTTTGACATTTATATTTTAACGGCGCTTTGCCAGAGATGAAAAAGATTTCCACTAATGAGTCGCCTTTAAGTCAATACAAAACTTTACACTTAAAAAAGTAGCTATATATATATATATATATATATATATATTTTTTTAAGTAGTTGTATATATATTTTTTTTAAGTGTTAAATTACTTATTTTTTAATTCTAAAAATATTAATTATTGTATAAAAATGTTGCTTTATAAAAATATGTTTGAAACATACGTATTTAAATATGATGACGTTTCGCTCTGTTAAATTTTCTGAAGTTAAGAAATAAATGAGAATTAAGAACACGAACGCGCGTTAAACAGGTCGCTCGAGTAGTAAAGTCTCGCGTATGGTCAGCCGCGCGAAGAACGCGCGCGTTCGATTCCGTGCTCTCGAAAATAATTCTTTTACATGACAAAAATGCATACAGTATTTATAAATAATGCAACACTGGTTTATTTTTTGCATTGGTTTTGTTGCGCACACGTATGTCACGCCGCGCAATTTTATAGGATATTGGATTGAAGTTATCTTAAGCTTGTAAAGCATGCAGATTCAGATCTCTCTGTGCCATCTGGGCATAATGGCATTTTGTAAATAACGTTACTAACGCTCTAGCTATTTCAGTTTTCGGTTTGAAATGAAATTTCAAAATTTCTTGATGCGTACATCTCTTACTATTTTTTTTTTTTCAAAGAGAGTAATCTTACAATTTATTTAAAAGAGAGTAATGTTATAGATTATTAAAAATATACGTGCGATTTTGTATAATATTTTTTATATGTTTATCAAAATTTTTTTTCTTCTCGCTTAAAAATATTTTTATAAAATATTTTTATGAAAGCACTTGTAAATAAAATGCGTTTTTATAAGCAACATGCGCATACATTATCTAGCATTTGTAATTACGCTCTAAATAACAGAAAAAACTCTCTTGAAAAATAACCGCGCTCGTGTGCAATATTTTTAACATACCTCGTTCTTGTTGCAAATCAATGTGTTACAACGTAAGTCGGAAAATATGTCTCTCGGTAGTGGGTATTGTTATCCAAGTTGATGGGCTATATATAACGAACTACTCCGAATCGAGAGAGTAAAGCGGCTTCAGGCACTTTTCGCGCGATGATGCTATCTCCGCGTAAGTCGAAACGCGAGCCCAGGTGGCGTAAAATTAATCTCGTAATATGTGACGCCGAAGGGGGTTTACGAACTGTGGTTTTGGAGGTTAAAGGTCGTCGTAACTTCGTTAATAATATTTCCGTCGGCTCATTACACGGCGAGAACATTTCGCGCGAGAACAGATATATGGTGTATCGGCTTATTCAATTAAAAATGCTATCTGAAATTTTATTACAAAACTGTGTATTTTTTATAGCACGATTGTAAAAATACAATCGCAATAGTTTTCCAATAATCATATTTTAACATTTAACGTTTGTGATTGTATTCTTATATTTTTTATAACACAATTAGTCTTTAATCTAATGTTTTACTTTAATTTTACAACAATAATATACGCGTATAAAAGTTTTTACTTATAAAAACAAGAGAGCGAGAGCGAGAGCGAGAGCGAGAGCGAGAGAGAGAGAGAGAGAGAGAGAGAGAGAGAGAGAGACCGAAAAAGAAAAAGAGTGTTCTAGGCTAGTGAATTTATAGAAAGCAATTTGTCACGAAATGAGATGTAATTTATTGCACGAAAGTATCATGATCGCGTCGCGTATGTTTTCCAAGTTCGGTCGTTAGTCAATGTCTCTCCTTGTATGCGCGTTTTGTCAGAAATATAGGAAAATCAATCCAACGGAAATTCTTCTTCTTACAGTTAAGTGATCTTGACTAATTAACCTGCAATGTGCTTCTTAATTTGCCATCCACGCAATAAACTATCCGCTGATGCTTTATATATTACGTACGCGCAACAGGTTCGGCTGATGTTTTTCTCGTTTAACGAGATAAAACGCTCGAATGCTTTCGATTAATTATTGCGAAGTAAAATTAACGCACAACCAGATTTTGTTTCGAAGTAGATCGTTCATCGGAATAATGAAGATAGTATATTCTTTTTTTTTTTTCAATTACCGAATGAACAATAAAAATACGACATGCAATGTAAAGTCGGCGAAAAATCATTTGTTTTTAAGTGTAATGTAATTATTCATTTTTTATTGTTGTAAAATAATTAAAACAAAAAACAAAAATCGCTCGTAATATAAAAATAAAAGTAAGAGTGAAACAATAGGTCAATATTTCGCTTAATGTAAAATAATATTTTGTAAAAATACTTTAATTATATTACATCATAATTGTTGCTCGCTATTTGACCTATTGTTTCACTCTTACTTTTATTTGTAAAATAATTATTTTACAGAGAAAATTTGATTTATATATATATATATATATATATATATATATATATTGTGACGTTTTTTGTGGCTGGTATCCAATTCTCGCGTCGCTCCACCGCAAACGGATAGTCTATTACGGGACTCAGGCGGACGTCCGCGAGAATACAACGTCGGATTAATGGCAGGATAGAAAAAGATTTTATCAGAGCAAACCGCTGCGTTGATTTGACGGTTCCTGAATTAAAAGGTGGGCGCCAGACGCGTTCCCGCGTCAAATTCGGCGTCGCTCAACACAACGGGCCGGCCAGCTCGTCTTTAGGACGGAGAGGGGCTGGGTTTAAGAAATATTTTTAATTCAGGCTGTCTCTTACACGCACGATAACAAGGCTCACGCAATAAATAAAACCAAAGCTAAGCAAAGACTAGTTAACAGTTTATTCTATAGGCAGAAGTGAGAAACTAACACAGAAATAAAAGAAACTAAAATAAAATATAAAAATCAGGCTACGTTTTATACAATAAGTAACAGAATGAGGTGAGTAACGTTAATCAACGAGATAAACGATTGGAAACAAAACGACATCGCGAACAACCCTGGCTAGTCGCGTATCTTCGCAATGAGAGGCACGAGGCCCGAGAAAGGGAGACGCACGAAGTCCAAATATGGGCATAGATGGTCGAGCGTCATTATGCGCAGGCGCATCTACCAAGTGAGTGCGAGCGAGACAAAGCATTGGAAAGTGAGAGAAAGAACGCGAGAAAGAGAAATGCGCAAGCGTGCTTGAATGTTCACCGCATGCGCACAAAGCAGCTGGAGAAAGAGGCTACTATATTGTCTGCACCGTAACATTGAGCTTCAGGTCGGCACCGTACTAGCCAGGGTTGATCGCGAATACGCCGATCGAGAGATATTAACAATGTGATCCGGCTGATAGATTGCCGTTACCGAAACGTGAATGCGACGGTAGCAAGGCGTAAAGCGAGGCGCAGGCTAAAGAGCCGTCTACAATGGAGAGTTGTAGGCCGTAACAGTAAGAAATTGACCAATCACAGGCAAAGTACAGAAGAATAATCGATTGTGATTTGTCAGTTTCTTACTGTTACAGTCTAAAACTCTCCATTGTAGACGACCCTTAAGGCCTGTTCTACAATACAGTCGTAAGCTGTAAGTCGTAAGAAATTGACCAATCACAGACAAATCACAGAAGAATAATCGATTGTGATTGGTCAATTTTTTACGACTTACAGCTTACGACAGTATTGTAGAACAGGCCTAAGCAGGAGAGGGTGCAAGCAGTCACATGGTACAAGCAATACGCGGAAATAAATTAGCTTGCAGCAGGTTCTTTACAATCAACAAATCAGCGCGGACTTACTTGTGAACAGATGTTCGCAATTTGGTCAAACTCATCAACTCGCAACGAAGCTTTCGCCGGTTTGGGTGCTTCCGGTTTGCAGACGACCCGGAGTTGAGAGCGGTCAGTTCTTTTACCCGCACTCATTAACTACTTGCTCACTAACTGCGAACGCGACGTCGGAAGGTCTTCTTATTGCAACGATCACGAGAAAAAGCGCGACAAGGGTCGTTTAGGCGCGTTGAAAGATAAGACGGTACGATAGGTCAGCTCGAACGCGAATTCCACGGACCGGATATACGCCGACACGCGACCCGTATTCACAGTACGTTCGCGATTCGTCGGCGATATTTGCCCCGACAATTCACCACACACAAAATTGCAATTCACCCGCACTCTAGTCCGTTCTAATTTCTCCTTCCGATTTGCGATACTTCCGACTCGCGCGCACTTTTCTCTGGCCGATCGCGCGAGAAAATCCACGCACGGTTTCGGTTCGATATTCGATCACGCCATGACTCGACGGCCTCGACGGCAAGGAGTTCGGTATGATCAATTAAACAATCACGGCGAGGTGAAAAATAGCGCGATATGAGATGCGTTAATTACTCAAGTAATGCGCAAGACTCGTTATAACACTTTTCACCGCGTCAGCTGATCGCCGGAACGAGACGCTAGCTGCGCGCGGCACGTGAACGGCACGATAGGACTATCACGAGACACACAAAAATACTCACGACCGATTAACATACAGAAATAACAACGGAAACGCTACTTGGCGCGAGCCTGCTGCTCCAGGGCTTGAATATATTTAATAAAAGACGATTTTTTATATGCACTTAACCTAACCTAACCCTAACCTAATCTAACCCTACCTACGATACCGTGTCACGAAGCTCCATGAGGCCCGATTCTAGCCGCTTTCGAAAATTCTAAACACGGGCCAAGAACACGTCCTTGCCGTCGTAAATACAACGAGAGACACAGCGGCTAGCCTCGACACGAGACTGGAGCAATGCGGATTCGCGGCTAACAAAGTGGAAACGGACACTTCACCATTGTTCGTTCTCCTCCGCCATCCGCTCGTCTCTATCGTCCTTGGCTGCATCCCAGGGGCTCGACAGTTCGGACTTTGTCACCGTCTCGGCTAAAACACACCACCGGAGTACGAGAACCGCGGCACGACAATTAATCAAAACGCACGGGAGCCCGCAAACGCGTGTACGTTCGGCACAGCTGATCGCGACCAAGAGAGCGAGGATTTCGCTCGATAAGCGGTCGATACGCAAGATAGCGCTGAGATCGCATGGGATAGGTCGCGTCGACCAATCGGGTCACAGGATTACGCCGCGCGACTCGCCAGCTCGCTCTAGGCGGCAGGATCAACGGGCCGCGAAATTCGAACGCTCGCAGGATCTTGTGCGTTAACATGCAGCGGAATAGCATCTCATGGCAGCGAAACAAGCAGCTCAAAAGACAAAGCGATGCAGTCGCAGGATCGTATTAGCGTTGAAGTTGTCGGCGGAGAGCGATCCGTTGACGGTCCGTTCTGCCGTTCCTCTCATTCCGTTCGGTCGTCTCGTCGACTGGCGCTGTGTTGAAAGACCGCGTGGCTAGAGATGGTCGATTGTGAAAAAATAATTGATTTCAAAACAATTCGATTTTTCAAATAATCGATTGTGTTAGATCGATTATTTGGAAAATAATCGGAAAATAATCAATTATTCGTTTTCTTTTTAAATTAAATAAAGACAAAAAAGAAATTATTTTAAACATCTTATTTAGTAGAAAATACCGAAATATTTAAAAGAAAAGTCGCATTGCGTTACGTTCTTTCGTACCTAAAACGTAAATGAAAATAAATATTAAGTAATGCAAGTCACAAAGTGAATGAAAAAATATAATTATTATTAGATATAATTAAATATATACAGGGTGTCTCATAACGAACGAATCAGCCGAAGTGTGTAGGTAGATCGGGTCAATCCGAACAGAAAAGTTATTTACCATTTTGCAAAATGTGCAATAGTTATTAAGATATGAATTAATAAATGTGAGCCAATGAGCGCGCGGGGGGCAATGATCGGACTCTAGGGGTACCCCTCGCTTGCCGCTGTTCGCGGCGTACCGCCTAATATCGCCCGATCGCAAGAAGCTGAGTCGCGCCGCGCTTGTTTGTTTCTCCGCCTCTCATTGCTATGACATTGCATGAAAGAAGCCATTTTTCTTTACAGCTGATAATCGTGCACGCCTAT